AAAACTACATAAACAAATGAAAATTAAATAACACCTTCCTGAACAACCAATCAGTCACAGATGAAATTAAAGAAGAATTTAGATAGTTACTATGATTAAGTGATAATGCCAATACAAGATATAGGAACTTGTGGGACACAAAAGCAATCTTATGAGGGGAACTTCTAGCAGCGAACTCTTACATCAGCTAAACAGATCAAGCTCAAATAATGAACTTATATTATATCTCAAATTTCTAGAAAAAGAACAACTTAAGCCTAAACCTGTACATGGGAAGAAATTAATAAGATCAGGACAAAAATTAACATAATTGAGATTAAGAAAACAAGAGAAAGAATCAATGACTCAAAGAGTTGGTTCTTTGAAAGGTTAAATAAAATTTAGTATACTGTTAGCCAACCTTGTCAAAAAAGGAAAGAAAAGACTCAGATCCATGAAGTAGGAACAAAAAGAGTGAAATCACAACAGATCCTGGGGAAATCCAAAAACTCATTAATACCTACTTTTATCCTAATAAGATGGAAAACACAGATGAAATGAACTTATAAAGTACCAAAGCTGGATCAAGAAGATATATAAATTCTAAATATCTCAGCATCAGTCAATGAAATTGAAGATGTAATTAAAAAGTTAGCAATAAAGGATCTGCACTGTCTTATGCACAAAGGTGAAGCCTTCCCCAATTGCAGTTGACAATACAGTATCTCTAACTCTGCTACCTCCCTCTGGCTGGAACCTTAATATTGCTCCTGGGCTTGAAGGTATGAATGTGAAGACCTTGAGGAGGTTTGGGGGTTCTCTAGTACCTCGTACATGGATAACTAACACTGGTCTTTTCTTTCCTTCTTCCTTCAGCTTTCTGCTACCCTTCCATTCTGTGTCTCATGGGCAACACTGACTTTAGCGTGAAATAACTTCTGATTTATCCTTTAGCTTTTCTTCTAGTAATACAACTCATTTTAGTCCCAACAACCTGTAGATTTGTTCTAGTTAAGGGGTTCTACAACTCTTTGGTACTGTGTAGCTATGCAACAGTTGGAGAAAAATTTACTTTCCAGATCCTTTTAGATTTCAAGGTTGTCTTTTCATGATGCTAGTGTAGATAGAAACAATGGAGCTGCATCCCTTCTTATCCATTTAAGTCTAAATACCATTCTCTTTCAACTTTCCTGTTTTCATTATCCTAAGAGGTGCACAAAATAAAATAACAATAACCTCAGAGGTCTCACATGCCCCTAATGAGAGGATGTGTACATTGGATCTTAGTGTGACCTCTAGTCACCTTTAACTTACTCCCACCTCATTACAGGTTCATAAATATGTACTGCAACACAATGTATTAACAAATGTTGCCCTATTATCCTGTTTTGAAATTTTTTTTCTCTTAAAAAATATGTACTTCAACTCATAAATATAATTAAGGTTAGAAGGAATTCTGGGAAATGCATAAGTGTTGAGATCCCAAAGGATGACTCAGCACCCTGTCAATCATTCTTGCTAGCCAGACTCAGATGCAGGGGGAGGCACCTAAGCAGGGATGCCTGGCCTTTGTTCAAGAGCCTGGCCAGCATTCTGTTGCTGTGGCTACTTTGGCATGCTTTGCCCTATGTGAGGTGGTTTTCTGTTACCCAGGCCCTTTTCTCTGTGCTATAGCTTTTGTTGGCATGGACGTGTCCTGAACACAGCTGTGATCCTCAGCAAATGGAGCTGCTTGCTGTTGTACACCTGGCAATTCATTCCATGCTCTAAATAAGAGCCTAAACTGTAGTTGGTCTATCGCAGGGCAACAGTGCTAGTGCGACTGTAAAGTTAGTGTTGAGGAGAGAGGATTTCAGAGAAAGAGTCAGACACCACTATTCATTTCATTTCAAAGAGTTGTTTTTTATTTTGTTCCTTCTTTCCCCTAACATTTTTTCTCTGTCTTTTTTTTCCCACTTTTATTTTTGAGTCATAACAAATCTTGATTCTTTTCTGCTTTGCAAACTTGGTTTTCTAGTCATTCACTACAAAATAGCTCTGACTCTGGAAACTAAAAATAAATAAATCTCAGTCTTTTCTTTCTTTTCTCTAAAGCTTTTATTCTACCATGCCACTTAGAAACAGTCATTAATAACTGACTACACCATCAAAAGAATTCAAAAGTATGTGTGGTAAAATAACTAATTAATATAAAATTATAATTCAACTCTTCCTTGAATGAAAAATCAAAGTATACATAAAGTACATCAGTTAAAGTGCAACAGGGAGATTTTGCTTTATACATAACTGTGAGAAAAAAAAATCTTCCAAAAGCAAATTTAAAAACAAGGAGAAATGTGTTCAGAATAGTATTTCTTGTATCAAGATAATGCAATAATTTCTAGAATAAGTAAATTAGGCACACAGTAGTACTTTAAATATCAGCCTTTTGATATTATTATTTTTTTAAAGACTGGATTTAAACTTTTGATATAAAGCAGACTTTTAATTTCCCGTTTTTCAAAGATAATATTGAAAGGTCACTTAAGCTTTTAAAGTTTTCAGAAATGAGTCACTGTACTGCCACTGTCTGATAGGTTTCAAAATCAAATATCTGGTCAGTATTGCTCATTTTGATTTGGCAAACATTTCATTTTTTATGTGTGGTTATACAATTTATTATGAAAAGCTTTTCACCACTGGTTCCCTGGTTTTAGGTAGACTTTCAGATGTCTGCATTTCATAGTTGAGAAGAAAGATTGCACACTTTAATGAAATACATTTCCATTTCATTATTCTGAATCTCTGAGCAAGATTCATGAAAGATTTGGACAGTTTCTTACAATTTGAAATATAGCCGTCCTAACTTATCTAAGTATTTTCATCATTTTCTAATTGTGAACACTGACATTCAGTGAGTGAGGACTCAAGCTGGTGACCTTGTTCCTCAGAAACAAGTGCACAACCAAAAGATACCGTGTGCCAAAGTCAGGGTCATCCACAAGTGAGGGCTGTGCAAAAAATACTTCTGTTTTTTCTCTAATGATCAAGAACTATGGAAACTTCTGTGTGCAAAGGACAGGGCAGGGCATTTGGGAAGCCAGTTGGGCTGGGGGCTGTATGAAAGGCTGCCTTACAAAGTGCTGAATGCCTCCGGACAGTGCCAGTGCTCCACCCTCTGGAGAGCAGTCTGGTTCCAGCTGGGCCCAGTGGATCTGGTTTGGCTGGGTTTCAGCCGTGACTCAAAGGACCCCTGTAAAAACCCTACTTAGTACAGATCTTGGGAAGCACAACAAAAAGCAAAAATGAGTTCAGATTCATCACAGACTGGTATCTCAGATCAGCCTCACTCGTGCCTTTCCTTCTAGAAGTACTTACTGAACACTTGCTATGTGGTAAAAAGCTATCTAACTCTAAGTTTTCATAAACTTAGTATTTGACTTATTAATTCACTTCCCTACACAGGAACTAGATATGATCTTTCATGGCAAGTCAAAGTCATCAAAGCTCAGTCATTAAAACATTGTTCCTACCCTCCCTAGCAAAGCTGTTCTTACACCTCTGAAAAAGATTCATTTTGGGTGGGGAAATAGTTCAGTAGCACAAGCAACTGCTTGGCAAGCACAACATCCTGAGTTTGATCCCTGTTACCAAAAACAAAGATTCTTTTTGTTTATTCCTTAAAATCTTCAAATATTTCTACTTTTTTCCCTGATGTAACCTCTTTCCATCTTTTTATTTCTTTTTTTCCCCCTTTTTGAGACACAGTTTCCTTAGTGAGTTTCGGTCTTGCACTCACTGTGCAGCCCAGGCTTGCTTTTACCCAATGCAGTCCTGCCCCAGCTTCCTTAAAGCTAGATTACAGTGTGCACCACCACATCCTGCGTCTTTTCTTTCTTTCTTTGTCATTCTGCTTTCTTTCTTTTTTATTGTCCTTTTGAAACAGGGGTTTACAATGTAGTTCCTGCTGGTCTTGGACACACTTTGCATTCCAGGCTGACTTTGATCTGCAGTTCTCCTGCCTCAGCCTCCTGAGTGCTGGATTACAAAGCATGCACCACCACATCCAGTTTCTTGGCCATTTTCTAATTTTAAACCAAGATCTTTTACATAGGAACTATTTTTGTCGAAGGCTCTCCTTAATCCTAAAGAAACAAAGAACATTTCCATGGTATGTGTGTACTTTAATTTTGTCAAAATTATGTTTTGTTTTGTTTTGTTTTTTTTAGGAACTGGGAATCGAACTCAGGGCCTTGCGCTTGCCAGGGAAGTGTTTATTCTACTGAGGCATCTCCCTGGCCCCAAAATTATGTATGTTTAATGGTTTAGAAGGAGTAGAGCTCAAACTTTAAGGATACAACTGGCCCTTACAGCTCCTTCGGAGCACTCTGTCCAACCTAGGAACTATTAAAAGCACTATAGGAAACTTGAAGCCTGAGTTCGCATCGCGATGTCAGCTTCTACTTGGGCATTCTCTTCCACCTGCCCTGTCCAGGATGGTGCAAAGGCTCTGTGACTTTCAGGCAAGGGAGGATTGGGGCTTTGTGTATCTTGGGAAGGGTTAGCTAGGGATGCCTCTGCCATAAAATTTTTCTACGGCTTGCAGTAACGCTTCAATTATTTGAGACACATTTCCAATCTGAAATACATTAGCCGCAGGCTGTGCACCGATCCCTTCTCCGCACGTTAACGTACCCGCTTTCTGATACTCTATGGCTTCACACCCCTGAAGCAAGCAGGAAGGCAGAATCGCGGAATTTCCAGGACCTCCAGGGTTCTTCCGTAGCAGCCTAGGCACAGGCTGGCTTTTGGGTTGCCGCAGTTTGGAGGAAGCATCCAGCGCGTCCAGTCCCACCCCGTGGCATCTGGAGCAAGCGGCGGGGCAGGGCGCAGGGCAGGCAGGGTGTGTGGGGGCGAGGCCCGGGGCTGGCCCGGGTGCGGCGGTCGCGGGAGGCTCGCAGCGCCTGGTCCACGCTCGCCAGTCGGAGTCGCTAACTTCGGGCCAATCAGCGCCGGCGCCCCGCACCCGCCCGTAGCGCCCCCTGAGCCCCCGGCCCGCTAGCGCTGGCAGCCGCGGCTGCGGCCGAGCCAGCCGGGACGAGGAGGGGCCGAGCCGCGGGGGATCCTGGACGCCTCTCGGGGCGGTGGGGATTCTGGGAGGAACACTGCATTTCCTCCTTCCCACCGGCTTCCCCTCCGGCCCGGCACCCCAAGTCCGCAGGGGTCACCTCGCGGCGCAAACATGCTGGGCATGTACGTGCCGGACAGGTTCTCCCTGAAGTCCTCCGGGGTTCAGGACGGGATGGGGCTCTACACGGCCCGCAGAGTGCGAAAGGTGGGTGACTCGGGGGCTTGCGCCCCACCTCGGCGGCCTCGCCTCCCCGCAGGGCCGGGAGTCGGCTCATTGCTGCCGCAGCTCCGGGCGGCCGGGCGGGCCGAGGCCGACGCAGGCCAGGGCTGCAGCGCGCAGTCTCCTAGCCTCCCCGCTCCCAGACGCCTTCCTCCTCCTCCCGCAGGAAGTGCGCGGGACAGAGCCGCCTCCTCCCGGCCGCTGGGCAAGCGGAGGCGCGTGGGCGGCGTCCCCAGCCACGCAGCTCTGGCCGCCTAAGGATGCAGGATGCGGCGGTAGCTACGCTCTCTCGGGGCCTCTGGTCCACAGCGCAGCCCAGCCCGGGCCTGGTGTCCCACCCGCCCCGGTGCCTTCCTCTCTGGAACGCGCAGTGTGGATCCCAAGGTGCCGCCAAAGTGGTCCTTGCATCTGGGATTCTTTGTCTCTTTGAATTTTCCTGACTTGGGATGGTTGAGGTCAGGCAGAGGCATTGCCCTGCCCTTACCAGAAGGGTCTGGGAATACTGGTTGTGGAAAGCCCAGGCCCGGGAAGAGTTACTGGAACATTTGCAGCCCTTTGGACTTAAAGTTGCAGCCCCACAACACAGTGAGTTATGTTCAGGTTGTTTTGTAGGAAATGTAAAATCTGGAACCACACAAAGCACCTGGGGAAGCACCAAGAGAGTAGGGTGAGCCAGCCAGCTTGTAATGAGCAGATTCTCTGTGCCATGACTTGGTGGTTTACTTGTGCTCTGCTAGTGCAATTTACCAGGAACACTCCGTGAGGATCAGCTGTACCTCTCATTTAAGATACGAGAAAACAAATTATTCAGTCACATTTTATTTATTTTTGGATACAATGTTTTGCTAAGTAGTTCAGACTGACCTTGAGCTCACTACATATATCCCAGGTTGCCCTCCCGTTCTCCAGTGATCCTCCTGCCTCAGCCCCCTGAGTGTGGGGATTACAGGCAGGAGCCACCAAACCCAGCTATTTCTTTTTGAGGTAGTGAATTAGGCCGCGGGCTCCTGGCTTCTGAGTCAGAAGCTCAGGTTCTTTCTGGAATACATGTTGGTTCTTAACTGTGGCATTGTGAACCCTTCTCCCAGCCCCCTGGTCAGCTTCTTAAGCCCTCCTTAGCAGGACCGAGCTTGTGCAGGTTAGGCACCAATAGGAATAAGTTCCCTGAAATTAGAGGTGCAGTGAGCAGATACTGACAGATGGTGAACGCTAGCCTTGCTCCCCAGCTAAGTGTAACCGTGACCGAAATTGATTTCCTTTTCTCCTTTAGTGAAAAATTCTCGTGACTGGACTTAGAGGTCTCTACCATAAATGCAATTGCCTAAAACCTTAGGCACAATTCTTAAAAATAGTTTTGTTTAAGATTACCACCTTGGAAAGTTAGGTTTATTACTTAACCTCTGATTTTATGTTTTATGTTAAATTTATTTATTTATTTTTTGAGATCAGATCTCACTATGTAGCTCAGACTGGCCTTGGATGCACTATGTAGCCCCGGCTGGCCTTGAACTCAGTGATTCTCTTCCCTCAGCCTCTTGAGTGCTAAATTATAGGCATGTACCATCATGCCAGTTCCTGTTACATTTTTAGAAACAGTCTATCAATGTATTTTTGATTTTTAAAATCAATTTCAACCTATTTTTTCATCTGTTTGTTTATTTGAAAGTACTTAATTGCTTTGGGGCATTACATTGACAGCTTTTTTTTTTTTTTTTTTTTTTTTTTTTTTTTTCAGTGCTCGGTATTGAACTCAGGACCTGTGATTGCCAGGCAACAGCTTTTTAAATTATATTTTATTGTGACATTTTATTACTGCAGTGATAGAACCTGGTCTTTTCCCAGATAAGTTAGAGACTGTCATCAAGCATACAACTAGAATGCTTACCTGTGTTTCAAAACAAATATTTAGACGTTTTCAGTAAACTGAAGTTATTATTAACATAGTTTAATGATGGTCTGAAGAATCTCAGCCACAGAATCATGGACAGGTTCCCTGTTGACAGAAATGACCTTAAAGCCCGTCTTCACCCTTGGGAGGCCATAGAAGGAGGACTGCTAAGAGTTGGACGTTAGTGTGGGCTACATAGTTGAAACCCAGCCTGAACTGCCTTTGGGGACCTGGTCTAAAACAAATCAAATCAAAACAAAATAAACAAACAAAAAAACAAAATGCAGAAATTAGTTTAAAGGGAGCTTCTGCTTCTTTACCTTCCAAAGGCTGGGATGACAAAGCTAAGCCAAATAAATTTTAGCTGGATTGCAAGCTGAAGGTGGCTGTCAATAGACTGCCAATATAGCTATCATCCATTTGTGTCTAGTCAGACTGTCAGTTCTTAAAACATGTTGCCTGAGGCTCAACTGACCATAAACCGGGGGGAGCCTGAGGACATAGTTCCACCAACACCTGTATTAAGGATCTTACTTAAAACTTTTCATGTCCTCTACTCCTCTTTTTCCTGTGGTGCTGGGAATTAAACCTGTGGCCTCATGCACACCAGGCAAGCACTGACAGTGGGCCGCATCTGCAGCCACGTGTTCTCTATTCAAAATAAGGTTGGACTCTCCTTAGATATACATGTTGGAAATTGTAGATGTTCTTTTATCATACCCTCATAACATACATACTTTTATAACACTTCTGTTGTACAAAACGATTGCAATTTGAGCCATGTGTTGATTTCAGATTGAGAGAATTGAATCCAGACTGAGTTTGGGGAATAACTCCCCAGTTACACTCACCATGCTGACTTGGATTCCATTTCCTACTAGAACTCCCTAATTCTTCTCCAGACCTGGGCCTCTTCTGCAGTGTTTCTAAGAGGGGCCCCTGCTGCTGAGCTACCTAATTCCCTGGTGCTACCGTATACCATGGTCTTACCAGAGTTTTCTTCCATGGTTTTTATAGGTTCATTGCTTTTATTTTTTTTAACCACTGTAAAATCTATATAGCAGTGCCAAAGAAAGGAAAGGCTAGAGTCTGTTGGGAAGCTCTTGGATAGAAAAAGGCCTGAGTTCATACTCACGTCTATATGTTGCGCAGTTTGCTAATGGTAAGAATAAAATACAATACAACGGATGTTTTTGGCATGTCATGTGCCAGATCTTATTCAAATAGTGCTCTCCAGAGCAGTTTTATGCTTCAGTGAAGATGTGAAATGCAAAGCATTGTGCAGATAAATTAAATTAATGTAAGTTCCTCAAAGCTAATGCATTAAGTATATGTATGGACAAAAATCTAAGCAAACAGCCAGATCAACTACATTTTTGACCTCATGACCATTTTGTTCTACACCTGGCTTATACAATTAACCTGTGGCTCGCGGGGTGTGACACTGTGCTTGAACCTAAAATGTAGCAAGGTGCTGTGTAAGGTCCACCAGGATCTCAGGATTAAGGGAGAAAACACACTACTACTAGTACTAGGGATTAAACCTTGGGACTTTGCATTGAGCTTTGGACCCAGGTCTTTGTATACTGTATTTTGAGATGAATCCTTGCTAAATTACTAAATTATCCAGGTAGGGGTTGAATTTGAATCCTCCTGCTTCAGCCTTCAAGAATGCTGGAATTACAGGTGTGTACCACCATTGCCAGACTCTTCTTTCCAGATTGATTTTAGTCTGCAGGTTTTTCTTTGGCTTTTAGTCATTTAATTACTCATATGCGGCGGGTACTGTCCTAGACCCTAGAATACACAAGAGAGCCAGGCAGAAGGTCTTTGCAAAGAGTTTGTTTTCTTGTGTGGGGAGATAGGTGATAAACAAGTTTTAAAAAAAGAGAAAGAATGATTAACTATCAAAGAATTGTGCTTGGACAGTTCTAACAATTGCTTATAGATGTTTTATCATACTTTGATTACGTATATGCTTACATAATACTTCTGTTTCACAAAATGATTGCAATTTGGGCCTTGTGTTGATTTTCAGATTGAGAGAACTGAATCCAGACTGGGCAATTTAGTATTAAATGAAGGAAGCAGACAAGGTAAAGATGGGAGTGGTTTAGGTGAGGATGACCCCTCTCAAGGGGAGCTATTTCTGAAGGAGCTGACCATCCAGCAGAACAGCTGGGGAAGGAAAATTTAAAGAGCGTGGACTCAGCAGAAGTATGGGGTATAGGCAAAAGCTTGTGCATCCGAGGTGCACTGTGTCATGGTTTCAGACAACTTCCAGTGGATTGAATGAGGCATATCATGGGAAACTACGATGACAAAGTCTTTTGGTTTGATTGATTGGGTGGTGTTGGTGATTTTTACTTTCATGTGAAATGTACTATATTGAAAATCAGTACAGTGGTGCCTCAGTTCAGGAACTCAGTTGTTACAATTGTTGCAAAACTGAAATGTCTCAGAACAGGATTGATTTTCCCCATAAGGTCACCATTGAACCTTAACCATTGAATTTTTAAAATTAATTATATTGGTACACTTTATTTATTTATTCTGTATTTAGGACAGAGTTTACAGGGTCTCACTGCCTAGATCGGACATAATGATCCTCCTGTTTTCAGCCTCCCAAGCACTGGATTTACAGGCGTGCACGCCCAGTCTCAGTTGCCCTGTCAGAGCACCCTGGGGTGTGGCTAGCAAGGTACCCTGGGGATTGAATCACAGACGCTGGGCTCTGCCTAAGCAGGCACTTTAGTTCACTGGGCTATCTGGCCAGCCTATTGGTACACTTTAGATGTACATAATGATCACATTAATCATAGGGAATTTGTACCTGTACATGATATATCTTGATTCTTTGTTTTTCCCAATCTCCCTTCTTCCGCTGAATTCCTCTCTCCCTTCTAATTTACAAAAGTTTTATTTCCATTTTTTTCTTCTGTTCCTTTTTTTTTTCCTTTTCTCTTACTTTTCTTACCACCACCCCCTTATTGTTTAACCATTGGATTTGACTGGTTCTGGTCCAACTCTGTTTGCAACAAGAATCATGAAAAGAATCAAGTTTGTGAACCCAAGTACCAGTCACATCAGGTTATGT